GAAAAGCTAAGGTCCAGATGTTTATTCAAGCTAAGGTCCAGATGTTTAGACAAGTTAAGGTCCAGATGTTCAGAAAAGCTAAGGTCCAGATGTTTTGACCTGATGAAACCAGATGTTCAGACCAGATGAGTCCACATGTTTTGTATGGGTCCCATCCTCACCCGTCCTTCCCCACCCCTCAGGAGCGCGTCCAGAAGAGTTTTCCTCACCCGATCGATAAGTGGGCGATTGCTGATGCGCAGGCCGCCATCGAGAAGAGGAAGAGGAGGAACCCGCTGGCTCTACCTGTTGACAAGATCCACCCCCTGCTCAAGGTGCGCTACCCTCGTTATCATCAGTAACGTCATTGCTCAGTTCCCATGATGCCCTGCTCTGACCCTGCTTCCCGTGACGCACTGTGTGTAGGAGGTGCTGGGCTACAAGATCGACCACCAGGTGTCAGTTTACATGGTGGCCGTGTTGGAGTACATCTCAGCTGACATCCTGAAGCTGGCAGGAAACTATGTGAGGAACATCAGACACTACGAGATCTCCAAGCAGGACATCACTGTGGCCATGTGTGCAGACAAGGTAACACAACCCTGCAGCACAACACACCAACACAACACTAAGACAGCACTGTGACAGCACTGTGACAGTACACACCAACACAACACTAGCTGCGTGTCTTACCTGTGTGCCTGCAGGTGCTGATGGACATGTTCCACCAGGACGAGGAGGACATCAGCGGCTTCCCTCTGATGGATGAGGAGCCGTCGGCCAATGAGGAGCAGAGTTACTACGAGCTGGTGCGGAGCTTCATGGCGGATGGTAGACAGTACCTGAGGCAGCTCAACCTGCTCATCAAGGTGTTCAGGGAGCCGTTCAACTCCAGCCACATGCTCTTCTCCCAGCACGTACGTAATCAATACCCTGACTGATCCGAACACGCCTGTCTGGTCAATACACACCTGTCTGATCAGTGTGACTGACCAGTGCGATTGATCTACAGGATGTGGACAGTATCTTCAGCCGGATCGTGGATATCCACGAGGTGACGGTGAAGCTGCTGGGTCTGATCGAGGACACGGTGGAGATGACTGATGAAGGAAGTCCTCACCCTCTTGTGGGGAGCTGCTTCGAGGACCTGGCTGAGGTTTCTACATCTGTGTAATTGATTGTTAGATAGGTTGATAGATTTTTTTGGGTCTGGTTCTATCTAATGTGTGATTTGATTGTTAGGAGTTAGCCTTCGACCCCTATGAGACGTACACACAGGACATCCTGCGCTCTGGTTTCCATGAACACTTCCTGAGTCAGGTGTCCAAACCCGGAGCCTCCTTCCATCTGCAGGTAAGTCCCGACCCCTGGTCCGTGACATTAGAATGCTTAGGGGCTGCATGGAAATGTTAAGATGGATTAATAACGATCTAATAATGGAGGGAAAACCCTGAGGTCAGGTTCAGGTTGATACTGATGACAGTGAAGATGATGATCAGAACACTGACACTGATGATGTGGATGATGCAGATAGTGATGCTGATCATGGTGGGGGAGCTTTGTGGACACATAGTGAAGCTGCTGTCTGTCTCTGTGTCTTCAGTCCATCTGTGAAGGTTTTAAAGAGGCTGTTCAGTACGTTCTGCCCAGACTGCTGCTCACTCCTGTTTACCACTGCCTGCACCTGTTCGAGATCCTCAAGGTGAGACACCTGCCCTACGCCTGTCTTATGCCTGTCCTAGACCTCTCCAATGCCAGTACCCTGTGGTCCTCGTCTGGCCGGTACCCTGTGGTCCTGGTCTAGGACTTTCCACTGCTGTAAACCTCTTTGTCCTGCTGAGGTTAAATCTCTGAAATCCCTCCAGTCATGTTCTGCAGATTATTTCCCTGCTGACAGGGTCAGAGGGGGGGCAGAAGGTTTACCCTGATCTGGTTCTGTTTCTGGACTCTGACAGACAACAAAGCCTGCAGGAGTTGCAAAAGTCTGCTTCCAGTCAGCAACTTTTGTTCATTTCCAATAAAAACTGCATCTTGATCTGTCCACCTGCAAGTGATGTTACCTCTCAGGTGAACTGCAGTCTGTTGAAAAGAGAACAGCTGTACAGGTGCCCCTGATGACTGACCCCACCCCCTGTGTTTCCATAGCAACTGGAGGAAAAAAGTGAGGATGAGGAGGATAAAGAGTGTCTGAAACAGGCCATCACCGCTTTGCTCAACCTGCAGAGCAGCATGGAGAGGATCTGCTCCAGGAGCCTCGCCAAGAGAAGGCTTAGGTAGGCCTACCTGTTCACATACTTGTATAGACACATGTACACATAACTATACACACCTGTACACACCTGCAACATACTTGTACATACACCTGTATACACACCTGTACACACCTGTATGCACACCTGTACACATTCCTGTATACTCACAGACATGGAGGTCATGAGCAGAGTTTACCTGAACAGGCAGACAGAGGTGAAACTACAGGCTGCAGCAGGTCACCAACAGTTACACAACAACAACAACAACAACAACAACAGCAGGTCAACACTCACTCACTCACTCACTCACTCACTCACTCACTCACTCACTCACTCACTCACTCACTCACTCACTCGTACATAATACACTGACTCTCTGATAATAGAAGCGAAGTCAGTAGAAATTCTGATAATTGAAGTGCAGTCAGTAGAAACAGTTGGGGACTCCTCCCATCCTCTGTGTTTCCCTTCGGACCAAAATAAACCCGGATGGAGGGTTCGTCAGGGTCGCAGCGGCGGGTGGAGGTCTGAGCTGGTGTTAGAGGACGTGGCGTCAGAATGTGGGTGGAGCTGCTCTGCTGCTTATTGTTCTCTGTTGGAAAGAAAAGAGCTAAAAGCCTCAGAGGGGAAAACCACTGCTGCTGTTTTACTGTATTACTCTAATTTTACACTGAATACCTGGACCACCAGCAGCAGCGGTGGAGGACAGACGGGTGGATGACCAGCAGCTGGACATGAGGACGTAGGTCACACCACTTTCTTCTTTTTTTGTGTTTTCTGCAGCGGAGTGTTTGTGCTGCAGATGGAGGTGTTTAGGTGGATAAATGCTGCTGGAGTTAGATAAAGACTAATGGAGAAAGATGAAGGTTGACAAAGGTGGAGATAAATGGAGGGGTGGAGGTAGTTAACAGCTGGTAAAGGAAAATGTAGGTGAGTGCAGATGTGGAGGTGGAGCTGATGGAGAGAAGAAAGTGTAGTTAGATGGATGTGTATCTGTCTACAGGTTGTGTAAGTGTTGACAGGTTGTGAAGGTGTAGTTGTTGACAGATTGTGTAGTTGCTGACAGGTTGTGTAATTTTTGACAGGTTGCATAGGTGTAGTTGTCAACAGGCTGTCTAGTTGTAGTTGTTGACAGGTTGTTTAAGTGTAGTTCTTGACAGGTTGTGTAGGTGTAGTTGTCAGGTTGTGTAGATGTAGTTGTTGACAGAATGTGTAGGCGTAGTTGTCCACACGCTGTGTAGGTGTAGTTGTTGACAGGTTGTGTAGATGTAGTTGTTGACAGAATGTGTAGGCGTAGTTGTCCACACGCTGTGTAGGTGTAGTTGTTGACAGGTTGTGTAGATGTAGTTGTTGACAG